ACTTAATTTTCATTTTTTTGTTTTGAAGGATTCTCACTTTTCATGTTCCTTATTATGTTGTGGGCATGCACAACATGCATTCTTATTATGAGGTCATATGTTATGACGGATTTGACGGAATGTAAAGATGTATCATGTGAAGTGATGAAAGATGTGTGTTTTGGTGGGTGGGATGAGTAGAGATGAGGTGCGAAGATGTGTTAAACTTTGATGGGGTTGAAATAAAAAGAAATTAAAAAAAAATTTCAACACCGGTGACCACCATCAAGCTCCCTTTGTCACGCCTCTGTCATGCCGACAATATTGTGGTGGTCATGCCGTGATGAGGTGTTACGCTTACTTCACGCCTGTGGGTCAAGCTTGACCCACGACCCATGATCTAAATGCTCGATCTCTCAATTCTATGCAGGGGGGTTCATTTTCCAAGGTTGCAAATACGGTTCCAAACTCTCTCTAAACCTCTCTCCCTCTCTCTTTGTATACTATATCTCATAAGTTACTCACTTATATTACTATTGAAATATAATTTCTTAGGTCTTGCACTATTGTGCTTTATTTCACGTTACAAATGAAGTGATGCATGACAGAATATTGTTAGTTGGGACTTTGGAAAGGTAAGACTAGCGGACAACATAGCTCATAATGTTATGGACAGGGCGACATGGTGTTGAAGACGTCAGTCGATTTATGGACATGTCAAAGTTAAAAATGTTAGTCGATTTATGGACATGTCAAAGTTGTTCCAAGTTTGACGAAAAGTTTGATTTGCATTGGGATGTTGGGTGAATAGTGACATGATGTGAAGTTCGAATTGAATATGGGTCGTGGAAGGCCATTAAGGAAAATCTTGTCATGGCCCGTGGTATATGGTGAGATTCCCCTTTGAGGGAGTGACCATACTAGTTCAAAAGATAAAAAAAGTTCGTTCACAAAATCTCGTGGGCAGAAAAGGGGTGTCTTTGCAAGAGAGAAGCCTAGAGCAACAAGTTATATTCAGGATGAACGATCAATGAAAGGTTCACGTAGACTAGTCAAAGGTTTTTGTGGCAATAGGAGCCCGAGTGGTGCTTCAGCCAATGTTCCTAGAAGATATTAAGTAAGGAAAAACATTATAGCAGGAGAGAAGATCCCAAAAGGAGGAAAAAAATAAACTTCTTGGCCTCACTCAAATCGACAATGCTTTATTGTACTCTAGAAAAAACATAACATACGCATTCTCAAGCTTGTTCGTCACACAACAAAGATCTTCCTCTCCACTTATTGCAGACTTACTCACGAAGGCGCAATCTTCTTTGCAATTCCAGGCTTTGGTTTCGAAGCTTCCACTCGTGACAGAAGTTCAACTTGAGTGAGTCCTAATTAAGGTGTTGTTTCTTTTTATTTATACTATTTCAAGTATTCCTTTATTTATTGGGTAATAAAATTATTCTATTATTCAATATGGTATCACAGTCTTGTTGACTAATAGATCATGGGTTTGAAACTTAGTGCCAGTTTGCCACATAGTTAAAAAAATTCATGTGCACGGATTAAGTTTTTGTTTGAGTTGAATCCTTGATAATTTTCGTATGGGACAGGATTTTAACTCCAGATCCTTAGAAATATACACATTGTACTTGTAATTTTGTGAGACTAGTAGACTACATGTGAAATATAATTCTTTATGTTTCAGTCGTTGATTAGAAAAATTGAGCCACGTTAATTTTGTGTGCGTCGCCAGTGTTCTGTTTTCTCTAGTCTCCAAGCGCGTAGATAAATTGTATGTTGTGTGTTTAATTTCTAATAAGTCAAAATATAATAGTTGGAGATGTTAAACAATAAGGGTCCAATATACATTTGGATATTAGTGAAGTGGAACTTTTTGAGCTTTCTTACATTCGACGGGGACCCAAATGCATCAGATCTCAAAAGAAAGCAATAAAGCTACTGAGCAAGTATAATGTTTGATAACAAAGATTTCCAATAACTTTAATCTTTGCTGGGGAACTCGTAGGGATGACAAAGTTGCAAAGATTATGAGGAACAAAAATTATGAAGAACATCTTGATAGATTTAGCGGATCGCGTATAAACACTTCCAGATTAAAGTTATTTAGGGACATACTAAACTACTTTAACCGTATAAAATGTAAGTAATCTAGAACGAACAAAAAATATTTGGCCGTATCTCGAAACATATTAAGGTGTCATATTTATATGTAAATTCTAAACAGACGTGTTGGTTGATGAAACAACCGATTTTCGAGTAACATTTGAATGTTGGTGTTTAGACCTGTGCAAATAAGGATCTGGGCCGGGCTTGATATAAATTTTTAGCCCATTTACATGGGTGGGCCTGGCCCGGCCCGGATTTGATGGGCTAAATTCTTTTACCCATACCCACCCATCTTTGCGGGCCGGATTGCCCACTGGGCTGCCCGTCCCGGATAAAACATCAAGAAAGTTTTTTTGTACAAAAAATTAAAAAAAACATTGAACTCTTTTCTAATATTTAAAATAAAATAACCAGCCACCACATTTTTATAGAAAGCATAATAGAGATATTGTTGCATAATTAATAAACTCATCATACTGATTAATTAAAAGAGTATCGATTTTTGTTTAAAAGAGGTGAGTGAATTAAACTATTATACATTAATTATAGAAAATTTTAAAATTTATATTGGCTAGGTAATTAACTATAAAGTAAATATATTTGATGAATATGGGCAGACCTATTGGCCCAGATGGGCTATAAATAACTTACAGATCCGCCCTTATACAATTCGGGCTTGGGCCGGCCCGCCATTTGGGTATTAAATGTTGTCCATATCCGCCCTTTTTAAAGGGCGGGTTCGGCGGGCCGAACGGCCCGACCCTTGTTTGCATATGTCTATTGGTGTTATAACATTCGAATGTTTAATGGTGGGTTGGGTAGAACAGTTAATTCCGTTGCAACTTATCGCGAGACATCTGAATGTTTTGGTTCAAACATTCTAATGTATCGAACAGGTTTCCCATAGGATGCACTAAATAAATACAACATTTAAAAGTATTGATTTGTACATTCGAATGTTCATTATTTTGAACTCCATAAATGTAAATCTAAAGAAGTTTCATTAGCTACACCACGACCAAGGGCTCTACCCCTTGGACCCCGCTCCTGGGGGCTGCTGTTCCCGGACTCTTGTTATTGAATTTGTAATATCACTAAACGAGCGTCTACTTCGCACTCCGAGCTCATTAACAACATGTATTAAAATTCTCATTCATTATAAATAAATCTCAATTACATAAAATAACTGATGACACTAAAATCACCAATATATAAACAACCAAGAATGAATACGAGTATAATTGCACACACTCAACATTCAACAAACACTCTTATACATTATGATTTATGCATGAAGAGCTATGTTCTTTTCACCCATTGTAAGAAGAGTTGAAAAAAACAATGTAAATGTCACCCTTATTGAAAAAATTGGTAGAATATATTAGTTGAGGTGGGTGAGATTCAATTGACGAGAAAAAAGTAATAGTTTTGATATTTTAAATTTTAAAAGGTAATTGAAATATTTTTATAACGAAAAAAGTGATTTGGGAAAAACTTGTTGGACGGATGGAGTAAGAATACTCTTTTTCTTTTTGAAAAAACAAGAATACATTTATCATATACTAAAAATCTCTCTATATTTGGCTTATGGAGAGAAAAGTTTTTGTGGGTATTTCAATTCCACTTTAAATTAAATATTTACTACTACTAACATAATTAAACTAATAAGTGTAATAATGCCAAACTTGAAATAAACAGAATGACATTCAATCTTATATGAAAAATCTCTCTATCTATGACCTGTGAAGTAAAGAGTTTTTGTGAGTCACTTTTCCCCCTTTTTCTTCATAATAGAACAAATTCTCATTTAGTTATTATGTTCCAAATTGATCATTTCACTCTATTTTGATTCATATTAATTTTCATCCACTATAAATTCAACTATATAAAAATATAAATGAGAAAATTAATTTGAGACTCAATAAAAACTCCTTAATATAGTGTATATTTTCTTCAAATTTACTTTCTTTTCAAATCTATAAAAATAAACAAACCATAAATAAGAAGTTAACTAGTTAAAGGAGGGAAATGAAAAGGGAAAAACTTCAAATGAACCAAAAGCAGAAAATTACTCGCGGGTGACGCGAGTTTTGTCGAAATAACTTTCAGGTCCCTCTATTTTCAAAAAGACAACCGAGGTCCTTATATTTTGTTGTAATGACTGAGAGGGGACATTTCATCCAATACATCATCCATAAGTGTTAATAAATATATTTTTTTCCTATTTTTCCAATACTTTTTTTTCCTATTTTGCCATTACCTTTTTTTTTAAATTTTTTTATTTCATTTGTTTTAATATAATATAAACAATTTTGAATTTTTATACGATTTTATAGAAGAAATTCTAAAATAACATTTTAAAAAATAGTAACAAAATGAAAGAAAAACAAAGAAATAAAAAAAAAGAGCGAACTAAGATTTATTACCTTAAAACATTTAGAAAAGAATAGGAAAAAATACATTTATTAACGTTTTATAGATGAAATATTGGATGAAATGTTCCTTCCAGTCATTACAACAAAATGTAAGGACCTCTGCTGTCTTCTTGAAAATAAAGGGACCTGAGAGTTATTTCAACAAAACTCGCGTCAACCGTGAGTAATTTTCTGAACCAAAAGAGAATGGGAGAGCTATTTCTAGACTAGACGCATGGGGACATTTTTGTCTTTTACCAATCAGATTCAGATTCACGGCATTCAATTCTACTTGTCTTCCCCTTCCACCCTGTCTAATCCCGTGCTCTCGCCCTCACCCCCGACCGCTGCACCCTCGCCCACGTGGACCAATCGACGCCGCCCCGTCTCCCGATCGCGACGCACTCTCGGCCAATCAGACACAGCCACGTGGACATCATGGGTCGATTCGCAATACGCGCAAAATACAGGGGCTGAAATCGAAGGAATCCGCCACTTTTTAAAGAAAATCGTCAGAAACCCTCCCCTCCCTCTCTCTCTCTGAAGAAAACCCCCCAAACCCTCGCCAGTCGCCACCCCCCTCCTCGTTTCTCTCTCCTCATTTGCGCGCCGGCGTTCCGTGGCTGCCGGATTCCCCTCCTCCGCCGCGCCCCTCCGCCGCCGTCTACGGTTTCGTGGAAGCCCTATCGATCACGCCATGGCTGCCGCTGTTGCTCCTTCCGCAGATCGTATCCTTGTTGTCTCGGTTTCTTCTTCCGTTTTCGGCGCTTTTTTTTTGTTGTCTATTTTTAATAAAAAAAATTGATGAGTTTGTATTCGTATTTTTGAGATCTGAGTTTTCTTAGAGGTTCCATAGATCTGGGGTTTCCGTATGTGTTATTGAATGAAGTCTTTGTCTGTTCCGTAGATGCTCGAGCTTTTTTTTTTAATCTAAAATTTTTTATTTGCGAGAGGTTTATTGGGGGTTTATGAGAAATTAGGTCGTATGAGATCTCTGTGTGTAGGTAGGTTTGAATTAAGTTGCAGCGAGGCGGGAACTGTTACTCGGGTTGAGGTTGGAGACTTGGGAACACCAACTTTTTCAAGATTTTTAAATGATTTGAGCTTCGAGACTTCCCCGAAGTATCCATACAGGAATGATTCCGGGTTGGGAGGTTGCATTTATTTGAATATTGAATGGGAATATCACCTTTTACTCAATTTCCTCATATGTTCTAGTATGAAGTTCTTGCTTGTTTCATAGATTCTCGAGTTGCCATTTTTTCCTCCTTAAGGTCAAAATTTTAAGAGGTTTATTGGGGGTTTATGTAAATTTAGTCTCTTGCGATCTCCTTTTGTAGGTAGGCTTGAATTCAGACACAAATGGTCTCATTCTTTCTCTTGTTATTTGAATTGTTTCTTGATTTGAATATTGAATGGGACTATCATGTTTTCCTGCCTTTATGTAGTTAAGTTATGTTGTGCGTGATTATTTTTTTTAAATTTGTTTATAGTTTAATACTTTGTTGATGTTTTTGGCATCACCTTAACTCTTTACTTGCATAGAAACTTCAGAGCTTCTGCAATCACTGTCTTTAGAATCTCAGAACAAAACAGTGGAGCTTCCAGAGCCAACCAAGAAGGTTACATGGATCTCATGTGTGATTATTACAGTGTTTGCCAGACAACTCCAAACAATGACATTGAATTTCCTTTCGTGCAGGCGTCTGTTGATTCATCCAATGTTGGTAAAGGCCAAAACCAGCCAGGTGAACGGTCTTTGACTCCCTTGATACCTGATTATATGGACCCAGCTGTGTGCTATCTACCTAATGCTTACCCATACTATTACACAGGTATTAAAGTTCTGCCTCGGCTTTTCAGGCTTTTCAGCACGTGAGATAAGTATGTCCAATTCACTAAATGCCTCATTTTCTTGTAACTATTCCTTAGGATATGAAGGAACTGCCAATGAGTGGGATGGATACACAAGATATGTGAATGCAGAAGGAGTTGAGATGCCTGTAAGTGTTCATTTAACCTTTTTCTTCATTTTTCTATTTTGGTTGTGTATTTTCTCTAGTTCAGTAAATGTTTTAGAAATTAACAAAAGAGCAGATAGAGTGGAAAAAAATGGGAGTCCTTATGATGAAAGAACTTCTACAGTAAGCTAATACACTTTTTTATAGTTTTGCTTCTCATTGACACTCTTCTTATAGAACAACCCTTTTCAGTTAGAAGTCAAAAACTCAAAATCAAATATTGAATAATTTCTACACTTTCTATACCAATTCAAAAATTGCAGGGAGTGTATGGGGACAACGGGTCACTTGTGTACCAACACGTGTATGGTTACAATCCTTATGCGCCATACTCACCTGCTACTTCCCCTGTCCCGACAGTTGGACATGATGGTCAGTTATATGGTGCTCAACATTACCAGTACCCTACTCCATATTTCCAACCTTTGACGAGTAGTCCTTACCCAACATCGACTGCCTTTGCCAAAGGTGAGATTCCCATATCTGCTGCTGCTGATCAAGCACCTTTGACTGTGGATTCTGCCAATGCTAATTCTAATGGTAATGAAAATGGTGGAGGCGCAAAGGGAAATGCTGGTCCAGCTCCTTTGAGACCAGCATACAACGCTGCTTACAATGTGAATGGGTCATATGGGAGGGGTACCATGCCCGTGGGAGTTGCATCTGGTTATCAGGACCCAAGATTTGCTTATGACGGGCTACATTCTCCCATCCCGTGGTCAGATACTACTTTTTCTGATGGACATTCTAGACCAGCAAACAATTCTACCTTCACACCATCAAGCAGAAATGGTATTCCATCATCAAGGAATCAAAATACTTATCAAATGGTAACAATCTTATCTCTTAGAGTTGAATTCCATTATAATAAGTTATGTTAACTCTTAAATTTTTTTCATTCTGATATGAGTGTTAGTTGGTCATTAATGCCTCTAAATGAACTCTTCTTGAAGCAATCATGTTTACTCAGTGTTTTTCCATTCCTTATGAAAGCTGTTGTGGTATATCAAATGCTCTCTGATATTTGCTACCAGATGAGAAATTAGAGTTTCAATTATCATTACTTAACTATTTTGTCACACCCTTCCAATGGTTTTAAGCAATGCTCTTCCAAGGCTATAGCATTCTCTGATTTAGAATATAATGGCACCAGTCTTATAGTTGGTTATGCACGATTCTTCTAGTAATTGATGGCTTGGAGCATGCTCCTGCAGTTATATATATATATTCATTAACTACATTTCAATGCCAATTTGTTTTTTGTTTTAACCTGCAGGGATTGCCCAATTCCAGGCCCTTGTCTGGTGCAAATGCAAATTATTCAAGTAATGCATATATGAACAGAATGTATTCAAACAATTTCTACAGTCAGTATGGTAACACCTATGGCTCTCCCCTTGTCTATGGATCTAATGGTTATCAATCACGCACAAACAATCGAGGATGGTTGTCTGCGGATAACAAATTCAAACCCAGGGGTCGAGGAAGTGGTTATTATGGTTTTGACAATGAGAACCTGGACGGTCTGAATGAGCTGAACCGTGGACCAAGATCAAAAGGCTCCAAAACCCAGAAGAGCTTTGTACCAGTTGCTCTGGCTGTTAAAGGGCAGCAAATTCCTCTAGCTGTGTCAAATGACAATGAAAAAGACAAAGAAAACACATGTCTTGTTCCCGATAGAGAGCAATACAATAAACCTGATTTTCCTGAGACCTATTCTGATGCAAAGTTTTTTGTTATCAAGTCGTACAGTGAAGATGATGTTCACAAAAGTGTCAAATATAATGTGTGGGCTAGCACGCCTAATGGTAACAAGAAGCTTGATGAAGCTTATCGCGAGGCTCAGCAGAAATCTGAGGCCTGCCCTGTTTTCCTTTTCTTCTCGGTAAAGTCTTTGGCCTGTTCTTGAAGTGTTTGGAACTTATGGAAAGTACTAGTTGTAGAAAATAGAAGCAAATAAATGCAATATTGTGAAGGAATGAAAATACAGAAGCGTTACTTTTGGTTCATTTAAGTTATTTTGGTACTCGAAATTATTTTCTTTCATCTGATTTGAAAAACATTACTGTTTCATTTCAAGTGCATTGTCCAACCTTAAACAAACACAACAAAATGACATTTCATTGCTATTTTTCCCCTTTCATTGCATTTTACATAATCCAAACATGCCCTAACAGTTTTTGTTGTTGTGGCGTCTTCCAACTTTTATTTCTTTGGGAATATATTTTCCAGGTAAATACAAGTGGACAGTTTGTTGGCATGGCAGAGATGGTGGGTTCGGTTGATTTCAACAAAAAGTTGGAGTATTGGCAGCAGGACAAGTGGATGGGATGTTTCCCTGTTAAGTGGCACATAGTGAAGGACATCCCGAACAGCTTGTTGAAGCATATCACCCTGGAATACAATGAGAACAAACCTGTCACGAACAGTAGGGACACTCAGGAGGTATTTTTTGATACATAATCATGGGAACTAAACACTTATGCTATTCTGTTTGAAGTTTGACACTTCGCTCATCTGTTGTACAGATTAAATTGGAGCAGGGTTTGCAAATGATCAAGATATTTAAGGACCACACTAGCAAACAGTGTATCCTTGATGATTTTGAGTTTTATGAGGATCGTCAGAAGAGGATTCAGGATAAAAAAGCCAAGCAACAGCTGTTTCAGAAGCAGGTTATTTTGGTAAACAAATTCTTTTAATGAAATTGAGTTATGTTCTTGAGATTCCTTTAAGAGTTTTGCCAGTGTTTGGCTTTGGGAATTTTTAGGGAAGTTGAGGCAAGTGAGCGACATGTGTTAGGTAGATGATATTGGGCAAGGTAAATAGAGGTGGTATTGAAACCTCTATCCTTTTGGGAACTCTAATATATGGGTGGTCGGGGTTGCGGGAGTTAATTTTTCCTAATTTCTATCAAGAATGCAGACTATTCCGCATTATATTTTCAATGAACACTAATATTATACTCAACTAAATATGTCACTCAATAGTATTCAATTTTTTTTAAAAAAAATTATATTTTCAGAATATAATCTCTCCCCCTCCCTCCTATTGAAAAAAAACATGGGGGTTTTCTAACCCCTACCCTAACCTTTGTGAACCTATTAGGTCTTAGTTCTTGGCGTTGTGGTTCATTGCAGGCGTGTGAAGGAAAACAACCAGAAGTGAAAAAGGAAGAAACTACTAATGGGGAACTGAAATCTCAAAAGCCATCCGAAGCAGCAGCAGCAGCCACAACAACTGCATGTGAACCTGCTACCAAGAAAGCAACTCCTATAGCTCAGAGTAACGGGGACGACAAGCCTGCAGAAAATGGTTCCGTTGCCAATCCAGGAGACGTTTCAGGCGCTGCTGACGATATCACACCATCAGAGAACAAAACTGGCACGACAGACAGCTCCTAGGTCACCTACCCCAAAAATAGGGTTGGCCCGGGTTTTGACGAGTTTCTAAAATGCAAATTTTAGAAGAATTTCAGGTGAGGAGAAGATGCAAAATTTTCTTGGTTGGTCACACCCTCTGCTTGAGCACATAGTTCTAAAATGCTGAAAAAAGTCCGGCTTTATCGAGCATGGAAAAGACACGGTTCTCGTGGTTTTCCCTTGCGGTGAATGGGGTTTGCTGCTTAGCTTCTTCTAACTGGTGTCTGGTGATCAATAGGGTTTGGGTATTTAGAGGTTCTTTTTTTTTCTCCTTTCTGTCTTCATTTATTATTATAATTAGTATTATTATCGTTATTGTCCAGGAGCCTTTGTTTTCTTTCTTTTTTTTTCTTTGATCTTTTCTGGGAATCCTTTTATGTTTCTATATTGTTTTTACTTTTCAGTTTCTGAGTTTTGTTTTGTCCTTTTTTTAAAGTTTCTCAAAAATGGTTGGGAATCAATCTTCTTGTAGAGGATCCTTTGTGTTGCAAGATGGAATTGTTGTCCTAACTTTCTAGCATCGCAGTATTAGTGTTTTATTTTCAAGCAAATCTGGGTTTCCCTTATGCTATTGAAAATCTGAAAAATGTTCAAAGTCACAAGTATTTTGGTCTCAAGTTACACAAGCTTGTCATTTGTGTGCACATCAAGTGAATAAATTTTTTTACTTATTTCAGAATTAAAAATTTAAATGCAAATAAAAAGTGTGACAAATATGTTTGTAATTCTAGCATTATCCAATTGCATATTTACTATATGCCTAGCAGACTTTTATGATGTGTGGAAATATAATGAATTTGGAATAAGTTTTGATTTTGATATAAATGTAGTTATATGTAAAGTTATGTTTGATTTGATTTGATTTTTATAAGAAACTAATAAGTAGTAAGATTAAGTTGAGAGAATGACTTTGAACTTGAAGATTCTCCTGCGCCATGGTTCAAACCACCTTGCCCCTCCCGTCTTTCTATTTAAACTATTCAATCCCATTTCTTAATAATTTTTCTAAATATATAATTTTACTCACACAATATTTTTATTTTTCAATACACTTTAAAAGATGAATTTTATGTACTCTCTTTCATCTAATTCGTCAAGAGAGGATTAAATATTTATGGAAGCGGTGCAAATCTATGCCTAAATTAATGCGAGTCTTAGCGAGAACAAAACAATCACTAAACAATGAATTCATAAGGGATCGAGATCGTGCGGTTGCAAAATAGTCTTATGGAATATTATATTTGTGCTGACCCAACGTACAACAAGTTGTTATGTGCTCGGCATTTTCGGATGAGCCGGCGTCTCTTTTGTAGAATAGCTGACGATTTGCAAACTAAATTTCACCATTTCCAACAACATTACGATGATAGAAGTAAACTAGATTGATGCATTTGCAAAAGAATGCATTCGTATGTTGGCAACTGACTTACGATACAAGTTTTGATAATTAGGATGAATATTTGAAGATGTCCGAAAAACAATTAATTGAGATACATTTTACGAATTTTGTAAATGAATGCATTCTTAATTAATTATTTCCAAATAGTACAATTTAAATATTTTCCAATTTTTTTTTAAATATTTTAGTGTAAAATATTAATTTACATTGTACTCAAGATGTGTTATGGATAATAGAGTAACAAGATGTCATGGCAGTGTATGTTGAAAAGTATTTGTGGGAGTCATCATAGAATGACATTTAAAATATTTGCAACGCTCATTAAGAAGTGCATGGATTTTTAGGAATATTTGTTAGCAGTGATTGTATGTATTGAGAGTAGGGGAACTCCCCAACAACCCGACTTTGATGGTTGAAGCAGTAGCATCATATGATATTAGGATATGACATGTGTTTTTTGGAGTTTGCAGATCTAAGTAATGATTTAAATGTTCATGTCCAGTTTCTAAATTTTTGACGAGATCGTTAACAGAGTTGGGACTATGGTGTTGTTTATCACCAAAGAAAAGGTGTGTGTTTTAAAAAAGTCAAGAGTATGCCAGAAAAGACATCGTGTGCGCCTTCAGTGTACTAAAAAAAGGTGACATATTATCATTAATCTCGCAAGAATGTGGTAGAAAGAAAAAATATCAAATATTCCCTTCGTCCCTGAGTATTTGTTCACTTTTAACTTTTTTCGGTCAAAATTGGTAAACGTTGACTTCAAATTTAAAAAAAATAATATTAGATATTGATACAAAAATGGTTTTATCAAATTAATTATATAAAATATTTTAAAAATATAATTTTATCTAATTAATATACAATATATATTTTATTCAATTATAGGTCAAAGATTGAAAATGGCTAACCGAAAAAAGTTAAAACTGGACAAATACTCAGAGACAGAGGTAGTAGAATATACACATGTATCATTTTACATAATCTGACCTTAGAAGATAAATGATACCTATCTGTGCAAACTACAAGCCTGGGAGTGTAGACGTTGAAGAGATCACCAATAATTAACAAATCGCAAGACGTGTCCAAATCCGTAGTAGGGAAACACACAACAACCTAAAAGTGGAGCATATATGACAAAATCAAATTTTAAATTAGTATTACTTGTATGATTTATTTCTTTCATTTATTTTTTAAAAATTAATGCGTTTTAAATTTATTTACTTGTTTATCGTTATAGTATAAAAACAAGGGAAAAAACAATTCTTTTTTTAAATAAGAACCTGAAAGAAAACAAATTGATCGGAAGTAAACCTGAAAATAATAATAAACGTGAAAGAAATAAAAATTATAAACCCGAAAATAAAATGAATATTTTTATTTTTTTAAAGATATAATTTCTAATTTGAGATGAAATAAGATAACATTAAATAAAAATAAAAGTTTAATTATTCTAGTGTTACGAAGATACTATGGGTGTCAAATAAGTGATATGGTAAATACAATTAGTCCTAATGCGGCGCTAAATGATTGCTGATTGGAAGTGAGTGGTTGTGAAATGCTACTAATGGCCTTAGAGTGGAATTGTATAGAGTGGTATTAAAAGTTCTATATGATAAGGGGTGACATATATAATTATTTTATTTTGCTAAATAATTTGTTAAGATTAAATTTGATTGAATGAATAATAATAATAATAATAATAATGTGAAATAGTCTTGGAGTATTTATAAAGTACAATAAAACTAGGGGTATACTAGAATAGTGTACCCTTAGCATGACCATATAGAGTATTCGGTACATATTTCTAATTTGTTGTTGCCTGCATGAGTAGTTAAATTGGTCAAAAGAGATAATGTCAATCCCATTGATCCTAGAGTCAAAACCCGACAGCAGCAATGTGTGAGTTCTATTATTTGTAATAGTTTATTGTGCGTAGCGGGCACATGACGACATCTCTAAAGACCAGATTGAGATTATACCATAATTTACCTCTCTCACAATCTTGTCAGGCCAGGATGTGGGGTGTCCGCGTTGGGCGTTCCACCTAATTTGTTGTTTTGTACTTTTGGTCAAATGCTTGAGTTCGTACATTGAAAACATTTTACTCCCATGTCTTGAATTAGTTGTTTTTTACCTTAGAAATGTTAAGAAAAGTGTTGACGAATAAGAAAATAATGGTTGAAGTTTGATTAGAGGAAAGATAAAAAGTAAGCCAATTATTTTAAGACGGATGAAAAAAGCTAGACAACTAATTCGGGACAAAAAGAATATAATGCAATTATCATGATTATTAGAGGTATGAAATTGTACAGTTGAATTTTCAATAGGCAAGTGAGATTTTATGTAAAATATATACTCGTCCCCCCTCTAAAAAATTGTTTGTTTTAGTATTTTTAATAATTATTTGATAAAATGAAGTACTATTACGATCTCTTATTTTGTAAAATACTTTTATGTATTTCGTAATCTTGAAATATGAAACTTTATCTTTAACTTTCTATACCAATCTTTAAATAAAATGAATATAAAAAATATAAAATTTTATTTTGTATTGCATAAAGTGTCCATCTTCATTGAAGGACACATGGTGTAATTTTTTCCGAGCACAAAATTGGTTGAGAAACCAATGAAGGGAGTACTATATTTTTTGAGTAAATTCCATAATTGGTCCTTTATAATAGGAGAATTTCCATATTTAGTCCTCTATTATCAAATATTACCCTCGTAGTCATTTTTTTAAGGGTATCTTTTCACAAATGGTCCTTTTTTTGATCTTCTGTCGTGTTGGTGTTAATTTAAAGGCTAAAGTATAATTTGACATCAACATTATGTCTAGTGACGTGTTCTGATATTGGTTAAGCGGATAACACAAAAATAATGACTATGATTGTGGGCTAGGTTCTAACGAAAGATCACATTTGTAGACTATAGTTGTCGTAAAAAGCGAGTGTAATTCACAAACGACGCAAAATGGAACAGCCTATGGAATTGTATATGACAAAAAAGATATATTATCATTGTGAAATTACACTTTTAGTCCTCACATTAACACAAACATGATAGAAGATCAAAAAGGGACTATTTCTGGAAAGGTGCCCATAAAAGAAGGACCACTGGGATAATATTTGATAATAAAGGACTTAATAGGGAAACCCCCCTGTTATAAAAGACCAATTATAGAATTTACTCATATTTTTTTGTCGTGCAATAATAATTTATATTTTTTTTTTGTCTGTTAAAAACATGAAATTATTTTTCATTTATGAAACTTTCTTTTTTGGGATTCCTATAATTTCTTTCCTTTGAACTACACATAATTTTACTTATAATCTCCAAATACGATTAATCAATTTTGAAATACTCCGTATTAATTTAGTACAAAGTAGAAGATCTATTCACGTGGAGTGTTTATCTTAAATCTTTTAATGACTAAATCTTCGCCGTACTCTCTGCTCCCCTTTGTGTTGAGGGAGAGAAACTCTATTTTTTACCCCCGGGTAAAAAAAATTCTCCACCTACCCAGCTACCTTCCCTCACCTTCAACTTATTTTTTTATAGTGTACTTTATTTTCTTAAATTTATTTCTTCATATTTTGTTTTTTTAATTATTTTAAATAAATTAAATATTAAAATAAAAATGTCATTATTTTTATCTCATAATTAGGAGTTTGACAGTGTAAATGAATATCATTTTGATGACTATATAACAGAGTAAATGACGATAATGCGACGCTTGAGTGTGAGAATGACAGTGTAAAATTTTATACAATTACTACTTTTATTTTTATATTTTCATTATTTTTGTTACTATTTAGAGACTTATCCTTTGAGATTTTTGGTTACTTTGATCACATATTATGAAAAATGTATACTCCATGTATAATTACGAAGTATAATATAAATGACTTTATTTTAGTAATTAGTTTTGACAAATGAAATTTTTATACTCTTTTCAATCAAAATATACGTTTACATTACGTTTTAAGATGTGTGATTGAAGTTACTTTTAAATCAATTTATCTCAAAATTTGGTGTAAAAAAATTTGCGTACTCTGTATTCAAAACTATATAAAAAGATTCAATCTGTAGGAAATAAAAGATTACATGACTATATTATTTTATTAAATGAATGAGAAAAATAGATAAAAAAGAGTACCTAATTAAATAAAATTTCATCATGTTAATAGTGTATGAAAATTGATTTTTGGGACAGATGAATTAACATTTATTTATTTAAAAATATATAGATAATAATTTTTGTTTATGGTAAAAAAATATACTATGAAGTTAGACAATACAGAGTAGTACAATAGTAATTGTAACTTTAAGACCGAGGAAATACTTCTTATCAATTTACTCCTTCTCTTCCTAAAAGATTGTCAGAATTTGACTTTTTTAGTCAAATTATGGTATCCTTTGAACATGAATTAAATGTAATTTAAAATAATTAAATATCTATTCCGTATAAAATTTTGATATTCTAAAACTATATTTTAAAATAAATTTAATTTTATTAAATTTACATTATAACTAAATATTTTTTTCATAATTCGCGGTCAAAGGCTGTTACAATTTTATCAATTTTTTGGGGATGGACGATGGAGGGAGTATTTTTTTATTTATTTTTGTTTTTTTTTTCGAAAAATGTTTACTACGTACGGAGTATTTCTGTTTAATTATCTGTTTTGCTCCAGAAATTCAAGAAAAATCGTTATACAACACACAAAGCTGGTGGGAGCATTCAACAATGGCTGCCAGCTTGAGAAGAATTACAGGGTTAGTTTCACTGCCTGCAAGAGGAAATTCCGGTTTAGGCAACGGAAAATGGAGCAGGAAGGGATTTTGTTCTTCGATCGGCGAGGAAATGCTCGTTGAAGAAAATAAGAAGTCTTCATCTTCTTCTTCTTCTTCCATGAATCTCTTCTCTGCTATAAATCAGGCTCTTCATATCGCATTGGAGACTGATCCTCGGTTAGTACAGTTCCATTTCCTGGAATTTGTTTTATAAATTTGAAATTTCTAATGCCATGCCCATGTCTGGATAAGGTTTTGCCTGATTCTGTGGAATTGGGTGAATTCATGTGGTTCGGGAACTTCAATTTATCTGATTTCCAGTGATTCAATTCTGAATGCCAAATAAAAACAGTCCAGAGGAATACAGTGTGGTGCTTACCAATTGGTGTTAGAAGAGTTGGTAGTGCATAAAATGTGTTTTGTATGTTTGCACATTTTGCCTAAGCTTTGGTGATGGTCTTGGTCGGTTTAGATGGAGGGAACAAGTAGATGTTGATAAACATAGTGTTTCTTAAAATGAATAAAATGTGATCGAAGTGTTGTATGATCACATTAGTATTCCATATTTTTATTTATATAAAATCTCAATTATATATCAATGAAAAAGATTTGGGCGTCCAAAAGTCTCCATCCCAACATACCAATATGAGTTTTTGATCTGAAACGGGGGACCTTCATTAGTTTCCTTGAAAGTATACCTGAACCAGACAGTCAAATACTCAAATGCATCATTTTAGTTGGCTTCAAATTCCTCTTATTCAAGTGAATTAGTTGCGACACCCACATTTGTATTCAGTTTCCTCAAGTTAGAGTCAATTTTATTCTTAACATGGTGCGAAAAGAAACACCAATGAGGAGAGAAATTATCCATTAAAACATCTATTTCACGTTCGAAGGAAGAAGGCTTGTGTATGGAGAATGTGATATTTATGGTGTTCATAAAGTATATTCTGAAATAAACCATGGTATTTTTTGGAATTTCATTCATATCTCTTACATTAGTTACATACTATATATTTTCCGAAGTACTGAATTGAATATGTGTATAATTTTTTATTAACATTCTCCATCTGTGTATCAATGAACCCTACAAAAACATGCAATATGAGTTTTTTTTCTGGGATCAATTTGTGACTTCAATTTGGCAGTTAAAAATTCCACTCAAGACTCATTTAGCATGAAATTTAGCTGAAGCGGCTGAATTTGCTGACTTTTTTTAAAGGATAAGTGAGATCTAACAGCCATTTCAGCCAAATAAGTCAAAGCCTACTTATTATGGCTACCGAACAGAGTCTTAATATTTTTGTGTAGAGATTTCAATGATATCTTGAGTTGATGGACACAATGTCCTTTCCAGTTCATATATATTTGGAGAAGATGTGGGGTTTGGTGGTGTCTTCCGTTGCACTACTGGATTAGCTGACCGATTTGGTAAACACAGAGTGTTTAATACTCCCCTCTGTGAACAGGTAATCATAAGATTCTTCTAAATAAAATGTGCAAAACTTTAAAATTTATGTGATCTAGTCTACAAAAGGGAGTAACTTCTGTAAATCAATGATGTTTAAGCAGACCCTACCATTTAGTCTTAAGAAGGATATATATACTACTAGGTTTGTTTAGTGTGCTTTGAGAGACATGGTTTTATCTAATGATGGGGCTTTAAAATTTCAGGGCATTGTCGGATTTGCAATTGGTCTGGCGGCAATGGTAGTATATTTTGTATCAAATCAAACATCGTTATCAATTCTTAATATACATACACTTTACTTGTTTAAGCTGCACATAACTTTTTATTTTGTTCATTACAATTTTAGGACAATCGGGCTATAGCAGAAATTCAGTTTGCGGATTATATTTTTCCTGCTTTTGATCAAGTATGCATTTTCCCTAATCTAATTATTAATGATTCGTTTGGTACACATAAATCAATGACGGAGGAATGGAATTTAATTATTTGGGAGAAGGGATACCGGGAATATTGAAGGATTCTAAATTCCGTAGTTTGGTTTGTGAGAGTAAGAGTATTAGGAAAAAGTATTCCATTGTTGTTTGGTTTACTTTAGAGTTAGGAAAAAGTATTCCATTGTTCTTTGGTTTACTTTTTAATAACTAGTACAAAGACTAAAATGTCCCTACTTCTATAAATTGAAAAAAGGTCTGAGAGAAGAGACATTTACTAGCAACTCTTGTTGTTTCTCCACAAGAGTCATGCAAGGAAAAACCCCCCGCACCGGAGTAGAAATTCCTAAAAATTTAAGGAATAACATTTCCCTTGGAATTGCAATTTTTAGGTACAGTACCCTACTAAACTATGGAATGTTTTCTTCCCTTGGACAAATACGAGAATTTAATTATTATTCATCCCTATGAAAAAACCATTTTGTACCATTATTAACACTGCATTTAATTGATGTATCGATTTCAACTTCCATAGATTGTGAATGAAGCTGCAAAGTTTAGATATCGAAGTGGTAATCAATTTAACTGCGGAGGTAACTGAGAGAATCTGATTGAATTATAGTTGTTCAATAACTATTCCCAGTAATGGAACTCCCTTATAGTGGGAGTGTGGGATGCTTCCCCAGATCGATGTTTTGTGCACCAGGCTCCCTTTCTTTAATTGCTATGCCTTGTGCTCTTAAGCTATAAGGTTGCTTATTGACATGCAGGATTAACCATTAGGGCACCATATGGAGCTGTTGGACATGGTGGGCATTACCACTCTCAATCCCCAGAAGCCTTCTTTTGTCATGTCCCTGGTATTAAGGTACTTTTTGCAGTTTATGCTTGGACCATTGGTTCTTTAATGCCCCTTTTAACATTGAATTTCTCAACATTCTATCAAACCTTAATGTCTTTGGTAACTCAACATGCAATCTTGTTTAGGTTGTCATCCCACGCAGCCCACTGCAAGCTAAAGGGTTATTGTTGTCAAGCATTCGTGATCCTAATCCAGTTGTCTTTTTTGAACCAAAGGTGAGCTGTTTTCTTTTCTTATTTTGAAAATCCAAATCATTTAGGTTTCACCATTTTAAATGTAGTCGTAATATTATTATTTTTTATGTTATCTAGTGGCTTTACCGGTTATCTGTGGAAGAGGTTCCGGAAGGGGATTACATGTTACCTCTTTCTGAGGCAGAGGTAACATACTAACATTCTATTCACTTTCTTTGTCAATTTAACAGTCTAAAATCCAAAGTGATAATGATTAACTCTAGATACAAACAGGTGATTAGAGAAGGTACTGATATAACACTTGTTGGCTGGGGAGCTCAGCTATCCATCATGGAAAAGGCCGCCATTGATGCTGAAAAGGTAGCGGAGTTCTGCTCTAGCATACTTATATGGAATTTTCTGCCACCCACCCTACCATCTCTTATTACGACTAGGCTTTATGACCGAAAAAACCCCAACCTTTGTGTAAATTTACACTTCTATCCAAACCTTTGTGGTTTGTTTGTTGGATATTTGGATTTTTTGCAGTTTTCTGGCACGCATTGTTTTTTTTTCTATTTCTGTTCATCTTCCTATTTTTGTGTTCATTGTCCTTTTATTTCTGTTGTGCTTTTTGTCCATTGTTTCCAATTTCAATATTGTAGTGTGATATAACTACAACAACAACAAACCCTTTAAAATCTCACAAGATGGTATGGTGTGGGGAGGGGACCTTACCCCAACTTGGAAGTTGAGAGTGTTTCTAAGAGGCTTCCGGCTGGGATATGAATATTGAAACCATTTTAATTGGTTTTTGTATCTTTATATTTTCTATGCATGTGGGAAACATGCCAAAAAGTATGAATGGTTTTAGAAATTTCATCTCATCATTTGTTTGCGAGAAGTTTGTGTTAACTAATTTTAGGCAATAAAATGCTCCATGTTTTATTTAATGGCTATTTGGCCATTCCCATTTTGAGTTTATTGTTTGTCCTTACGACCACTTATTCAACCAGCTTCTGGTTGGTTTTCTCCTGGGAAGGAAAACAAATTCCGAGAAATCCATAGGCGTGCCCTAGAAGTGAAAAAATGAACAGCTAGGGGCCAAAAAGGGAATTTCCCTATATTCGAGGGATCAAAGGTGGAATATTTTTCTTCTAGACAATAAGACATTGAATTGATACTATAAATATCATGCTCTACTGCCCGCAATATAGTTGGGATTAAGGTGTTGACGATGATGAACTGTATTTCTGAACCAAAAATGGAAGTGAAAATCTTTGCAGGAAGGGATCTCTTGTGAGTTGATAGACCTTAAAACTTTAGTACCTTGGGATAAAGAAACGGTGGAGGCCTCTGTTAAAAAAACTGGAAGGCTTCTGGTGAGCATTGTTCCATAATTACTTACTCCGTAAGTCCTAATGGAAGCACACAATTCTTCAATAATACATCTAATTTCTTACTTGTGTAGGTCAGTCATGAAGCTCCTATAACCGGAGGATTCGGTGCTGAAATATCTGCTTCCATACTTGAGCGTTGCTTTCTGAGAGTAAGTGTTACTCCATCCATCTTGCAAGTTGCAATAAGGTTCTACACTTCTACACCATTTGACCTGTCACTTAATTCAAAAATTTGAAAATGTGTGTTTGAGATCTCTGCAGAGAGAGAAATGATATGAACAACACATTTAGTTCCTTAAAGGAGAAATGGAACCTTGTTTTGGACATGCACATAATGAAGCATTGAGTCTTTCTTATGAGACAATGGGACTACTACCTTAAAAAACAATGTTTCCTTAACGTACAATTGGATAGTTATTAGAGAACGGAAAGAGTAGGCGCCCTGCCCTTTCAGCCCATACCATGTTTCCTTGAAGACCAACCTTGAAACAACAACAACCCAATAAAATCCCACAAAAGTAGGGTCCGGGCGTCACTGTATGCAAACATTATCCCAACTTGGAAGCAGAGAAAGTGTTTCTAAGAGACCAACTCAAATAAGAAAAACAAAAATGAAACTTATTTTTTTTTTGTGAATGGCTTTGCAGTTAGAAGCTCCCATTGCAAGAGTTTGTGGGCTGGACACTCCATTCCCCCTCGTGTTTGAACCATTCTACATGCCTACAAAGAATAAGGCAAGTCTTTAAACTCTGTATCCATCACAAAAGATTTCTTTCTCCGGCTGTCATTTTTCGTTTTTGTGCGTTTAAGACCCCTTTGCTTGTTGTGCACAGATACTGGATGCAATCAAATCCACTGTAAACTACTAATACACACAGACCGATACGGTAAATTCTCCTGGGGAAAATGAGGGAAGATATATTTTTACCTGTTGTATTTTTTTAATGTACGAGCCATTGTATGGGTTTGCTGGGGTGGTGGGTAGTAAATTTTCTCCAAAGAATAATATGGTGATAGAGAAGGGGTAGGGATGAGTTAAAAGAAATAAGTTGGGTAAATTTACCCCTATACATTTGAACTACTAAAACTCTTGTGAACTTAATAGTGCCTCTGTATTTCATGTTATACTACATGTGGAGAAATTCCCTCACTTGGAACATTTGGATGGAGTATTTCCTGAGCAAGACAATTGCATGTTATACATGCATTCATTTTTTTCGCATGTAGTACATGCAAAAACATCAATATCACCTGCCACCTACTAGTTCTTACGTACAGTTTTTTTTAATTATTTCGCATGTAGCACATGCAAAAATATGACCATCACTTTTTTATTAAATAATTTCTCCCCCAAATGCATATGGGTCGTTTCCCTCAGACGGAAAAAAAGAAAAAACTAATTCTTAAACTGGAACATGAAATTCCTCATAAGGAAATTCACACATAGTACATGCGGATTCAATTTTTCTTACAGAACTGTCAAGTCTTCAGTAAAATTTGCACAAAAGTCGCACGTAGTACATGCAGATTTATTTTTTTTATAGTTTTGCATGTAGTACATGCAAAAATAATGCTCACTTTAACTCCACTTTTTCCACTTTCCAATAAATCTACTTTAACCACCTTTTCCACTTTCCAAATTTTCCACTCCCACCACACGTTTCAACCACCTCCTTCCCAACCATCCAACTTTACCCACCCCTTCATCTTCTTAATTATCACTCATATTTTTTTATATAAACCACCCCTTCACCCACCACTTCATTCACTCTTCAAATTTAATCTATTCTCACACTACTCCATAACATTCAACATTTTTCAAGTATTTTTTTACTTATATTTCACTTAGCTTTTAACTATTAATAATATTGATTATAGATGTTATGTTTTTATTAGTTTTCATTTTCATTTGATTTATTAAGATTGTGTTCATATATTCTTAACTCTGTGCTCCATAACATTTTTATTTTTTCATAAAAATTTATGAAAATATTATTTTTGAAATTATGTTTTTTAATGAATATATTTTTTTTAAGTTAGTGTTTACATGAATATTTTTTTTTGAAATTATGAAGATGTTTTTTTAATGAATTTTGTATGCACTAAAAATTAAGAATAAAAAAATTTAATTTTTATTATTTTATTTTTGTAGTGCAAAAATGGATGACATGGAAAGAGAAAAAAAGATGGAGAGAGAGATAGCGGGCCATAGAATAGATGACATGTTACATTTGCAGAATACTCATCGTTCTAGTCGGGTATGGAAATATAAGGAGTTTTGTGACGATAAACTAGTTTCAGTTAGATATCATAGTCGCATCCCTACTGTTTTTCATGACTCTGGGGTTCTCAAAAATTTACGGAGGGCTGGATTTTATGAGGTACACCGTGTGCACCCTATTAGATTTGACCATGGTTTAGTCACCCCCTCTCATTGAGCGATGGAGACCGGAGGTGCATGCTTTTCATTTCCCGTTTGGAAATGTGTATTACTTTACAAGATGTAGAGTGTCTATTGGGTCTACCCGCCCAATGTCTAAGCGCCAAATCTCCTCGCAGAGTCCTCAGTCGCGACTCTCGGCCACTGGCCAGCGCCGAATCGGCGAATCCCTCGCCTAAAATACTCAATTGCCGAGAGCCTGAGACGCGGACTCCCTCAATCCTTAGTATCTCTCCTAGTTTTTTTAATTCTTATTTTAGTAGGAATAGAAATTTCCTTGTTGGCTGTATCCTCTTCTTATATAAAGAGGGTTAGATCTTTGTATTCATCAGCAATTCAATATACAAATATATTTTCTCTCTTAATTTCTTCTTCTTCTTCATTATTATTATTATTATTATTATTATTATTATTATTATTATTATTATTATTATTATTATTATTACTCCCTCCGTCCCCCTAAGATGTTCTCATTTTGACTTTTGGTGATTTTTAAGGAGAGTTGAAAAAAGGTGAAAGTTTACCATAATACCCTTAATGAAAAATGAGTGGAGTGTATTAAATGAGGTGGGTGAGGTGTAATAAATAAAGTAAGTGGGGGTAGTTGTGGTATTTTAATTGTTAAAAAATGAAATGAGAAGATCTATTGTGGACAAAGAAAAAGGGCTATTGGGAAGATCTATGGGGGACGGAGGGAGTACATCAGACTCCACAACATAACAAATCAAACATATTCAAAGCCAAAAACATACACAAAAAGAGGACCATTCTCATCAGTACACATATTACCCTTTTTTACAAGTCTAACACTGCACTTCCAAAGGCCACATAACTACACCATTACCATATACAAGAGTTGCTTTGTTTCACCATTTTGACAACACCCTTTGACACCTTTTAGCATCTAATCCTCTAAGTAATAATCGACAGTGACTTATTGACATTTGTGCCAACAAGTACCTGATCGGCATCATCGGTTTCTCCAAGACTCTTCACAAATGTCCTCAGACAACCATTGATTACGCGCGGTGCAGCCCCATCACAGAACCGTTTTGCAAGATCAACCGCCTTTGAGAAGTTTTTCAGGTTTAGGAGAAAAAAGTAATAGAAGAATTGGATTAATAGGTCAACAGCGCAAAGAAAATAACAGCATTACCCCAGTGCCTCAAAGGCTCCTGCCCATTGCGGGGTAGGGGGGGTCGGATGCACGCAGTCTAACTCCTATGTTCATAACATAGAGCGGCTGTTTCCGGATGACCCATGATGAGCGTCAAAAGTTGCATTGACTAAATGCTACTTCACTATTGAAAAAGAAGTGCATGCAGTTTAAAGATCCATTTTTGCTTTATTCCATCATACCCAACGCCAAAAAAGTAAATCTTTGGCTCCATTAGAGATGATGGAAGAAAGGTGCAAAGAAAACAAGAAATATTTTTTTATTATAATTTCACTCAAATATGTAGCAATTGTGCATATGAAGAGCAGTGCCGGGGGAGTGGTGGAAGGGTGCACCCTTGGAATAAACTACAAATGTTTTTTTTTATACCCAGTACATAGTTATTTAATACTCCTCCCACTTTGAATGAATTTTACACCTTCCTTATTTGGATGTCAAAAATCAACTTTACACTTCTCCATTTTCCTTTTTAAGAAATAAGTATGTGGTCATCTTTAACTCTCTCTCCTCCAAATAATCAACCAGATACTCTTCACTTTTCAAAACTTTTCTTAAACTCCGTAAAGTCAAACTGTAAGTCTGTAAGGTTCTTTTAAAGATGGATGGAGTATTTAAGTAGGACCTTGCCATGGTGTCCCCATGTTTTATCCCACCTTTTTTTTTTCTCGCGGACATGGATATGCAAACATCAAGACATGGCATGTATGTGAACCCATGTACATGTTAACATTTTCCTACATTTGGTGATTTTTAAATTAGCTATGCCCTATTTTTGGTTGTAGGCCTTTCAAATGATTATTGTGTATGCATATAATATTAAAAGGGGATGTGTGCAAGGAGACAAATAGTTGCACCAAGCCAACAAGCGCAAACAAAATTACCTCATTGATGACTATTTGGTGCTGTGTTCCTAACACCGTTATTTCAGACATTGCCAGATGAAGAATTGAAAATTCCAATATTCTTCCACCTGGTTTGCTCTGTGGAGAAAAATATGATTTAGCAACCAGGATATGAAACAACATAACAGATTTCTACTCGTACACTACATGTGCCTCAGAAAGACTATATATAATGTCCATAAATCACAAAACCATACCATATGTATGCGTACCTTACCTCTACTCCAAATAGTAAGGAGGCATAAAGTGTGGCAACTGGCAAATGATTCATTGGAAAAAGGGTTACGATAGATTTCAGTCATTTGTCTTCTTTGAGAAGTTAATTATGTGTGACTTAAGCTCTTTGGAATCACTTGAGTTTCACAATTTTTATTGACTACTTTTTATAATGATAACATATTCACAAAGGGAGAACCATCCAGAGTATAATGATGTTTGCCTCAAGACTCAAACAAACTACTCCCTCTTTCCCTTATCTCCATGGTTAGACTTCCCTTGTACTTTACACAAGAAAAGTTCTTTGGTTTGACTTTCAAGAGTGCCCTTGCTTTGGTGGGCAGTGTATTGTTTGTTTCATCCTAAAACTCAAAATGTTAATGATGCTTTGTTACCTATCTCATCTTAAACATGATTTTCTGTTCATCAGTAATAATCAACTTAAGTTTAAAAGTTTTAGATCTGCTAATATCAATCAAACTATGCACTAAACTTCCATGCTTCTTACTTGTTAGAGTCTATCCCACATCGGAACGTTGAATAGAAAAGACGAAAAGTTATCGGTATATAAGCTCTTGAGTTTAACTAACTAATCGATTGGATTCAATCTTTTAATGCGGTTCAACCCAAATGTCTTATTGCCCAATCCAGTTATCTCCCCAATCCTAAATTCTATCATTACTTCTGCTGATGTTTTGGGGAGTAAAGGTGGTAATGCATCAAGGCTTTAACAGAAACAATTTCTCTGTTTTTACACGGGTAAGAAACCTTATAAGTTATAACACATCTATCCTAGTTTAAGAGATGTCAAATGTTGTCATTGCTCCCCTTGTGCCCCGTGTCTCGCATTCAACACACTTTTTTAAATGTCATATCTTACAAACCGTTCGTTGTCACATGGCCCCAACATATGCACACAAAGCTATTCTCAAGCCCGACAGCATTGCCATCAAGGGTATGACACACTCGAGGACTACTCCATTGGAAAATTCAAGGATATTACAATCTGCTATGGTTCGGCCAAGGCATTCCAAGATCGGCGTCCAAGTGTTTCGTTTGCAGGCAGGCAGCCAACCAACCTTTTTAGAGTAGGTAAGTTGGCTAAGCCCTACGAACGACCAAATGTAGTCACTGTAGTTTTCTGACTCGGGACCAACACGCAACACACATCTTAACCCTGAGACCCCAACAGAGTTGAGATTATATTGGTTGTAGTAATTATTAAAATATAGAACACTGTTACTGGGCCATAACCACAAGCTTGAGCTTTTGGTATCAGAGCCTTGTTGACTAAGAGGTCACATGTTCGAAACTCAGTGCCAGCCAATTAAAAAATTAAGATTTCACGTGCAAGGCTTGAAAAGACTACACCTGCACGTGAGGAGGCGTGTTAGTATATAGAAAACCTTTCCTGGGCCACAACCAAAAGCTTGAACTTTTGGTTATTGTACCATACCAATCTCTTCTCCGTCAAATACAAACTTCTCTTTTACTATTATTTTGTTTGGCTAATGTCTATATGCCACACCGGCATCCTTTTCGGTGTGAGTAGAAAAACATTTAAGAACTTTTAAATGGTAATGCCCAAACAGAAACATACACGAAATAAATAAATAAAGGCAAAACGGAGCTGATAAGGTGGCACCAAACCTTCCAATTTGGAGGTGCTACTTTTTCAATTACAGGCACATGACAGTCCCATTTCTCTGCAACCGCAACCAGAAGTTTTCTTGTGAAGCTGCAATATTGACAAAATGTATATATATCCTATTTGCACATGTTCCCCAAGTCCCACGGAAACAATAAACCATGTTATACTGGTCCTGGTGACATGAAAATTAGGGTACCTTAAACTTAGTTTGCTGTAAACTAACTTCGGGGGAGCCGCAAGAACTTCTGCTTCTAAAAAAGAGAGAAGATTGTAATTGTAAAGTCACATTCCAAATAAACAAACATGAATTAGTAAAAGGAGGCAAACTTTAGAAGAACAGAAAAAAAGGATGATAAATGGTTCTAACTTTTAGCCAAAGACCCCAAAGAAGGAAGAAAAAGAAGCAGCACAGTCTTGAGTGTCAGGCTGCAATTTTTTTTTGTTTGATGCAAATGGTTTTAGTGAGAAACTAGTCAGACTACATATTTTATTGCTTCACAGTAACTGGTCATTATATCACATTCCACTATGAGCTAATGTACCCATTCATCAATTGCAAAAGTGTTGAAAGCATATATCAATTTTGTGAGGGAAACTGAATTATTGAAGAGAAGAATTCCACTGTAAAACAATGACTCATGTCCATTTCATGATGAATTTCCATGGATTTATTGTTTTAACTGTTTTACCCACTCCACCCATCTTCCTATGATGCATAGTGTGAAACAGGCAATTTGACAGCATTTCATCATTACATTATTATTATTGTGTTCCTAAATAAAGGAAGAATCATAAAAAAAAAGAGGTATAGAGCTGATAACGGAATTTCCAAGGAACTGTTATTGTTGTTGTTACTAGGAGATTGTTCCATCCTACAAGAGAATTGCATCATGAATGGCAGTCTTTTTTAGTTGATAAATGTCCAGTTATGAGTAAGGTTGCTTCCAGTAGTATTTTAGTAATAAAGCTCGAACTTAGCAAAGAAGCTTTCAAACTAAGATACACATTTAAGTCACGGTATTTTCATTGTCTCTACACTTTTAAGCACAATCCTAAATATTCCTCTACATAGCCTAATTTTACCTGTCTCCATTGTACCAGAGAGAGAAAGAGAGAGAGAGAGAGAGAGGGGGGGGGAGAGCGAGAGAGTAATATGAGAATTTCTGCATGATATATAATAGGTTGTGAATGAATTTAAAATATTTTAAAATGGGCCATTGATGCGCGAACGATTATTGAGAATTGAGAAACTAGTCAAACTACAAATCAATTTGTTGATTTACAGTAATTGGTCATTATATCACAATCCACAATGAACTAATGTACCCATTCATCAATTTCAAGTGCGGAACGCATATATCAATTTTGTTAGCGGGGAACTAAAGAGAAAATTTAACTGCAAAACAAGGTTTTAACTTTTAACTGTTTTAACTCAATTCATAGATGACTCAATTCCCACAAAACCATGTTTTAACTGTTTTAGGTACTCCACTCATCTTGCAATGATGCAATGTGTAACATGTGATTTGACAGCATTTCACCATGACATCATTATATTCCCACATAAAAGAGAACCATAAAAAAGTAGGTGTAGACCTGAATAGCTGATAATGTAGTTTTACAAGAATTCTTCTTGCTGTTGTTAGAAGGTTGTTCCATCCTACTGGAAAATGTACTCCGTAATTACGAACGATGGTCCTTGGTAATTGATAGACTTGCTCTCTTGCCCGGTTATGAGTTAGGTTGTAAGAGTTACTATCGTTGAGTGATGGTCTAGGAAAGGTCCTGCCATAAGGGTGTAACATACTCAAACCTTACCTTGCACTTTGTAAGAGACTACTTCCCGGACTTTAGCCCGTGACCTCAAGGTAACACTGCAACACCTCAACCGGTGCGCCAAGGTTCTCTTCCTACTATAGAAACCATCTAAAACATTTCCCAACACTATTCTTCATAAGGTACTACATGCAACAATGCAAGATCTCCAAATGATACTCAAATCACCCTATGTGAACTATGCAACAAATGAGAAATTTCAATACAAATACACACAATGCAAAAAAATAAATAAATTTACTATAGGATATAAACTTCTAACTCAAAAAAAAAGCTCACCAGCTTTAGACTCATTTTCATCAATCAGCACGAGTTGATCCGCTTCCTCCTCTGTATCTGTTGCCACTGGTGGCCCGCCAAAGCTCATATGGTTATAGCTCTTTAACCATTCTTTATCAAAATCATATCCATGCTCTGTACACAAACGCATAAATTTCAATCACACATTGTTCCATTCCAATGAGCACAGCAGCTATTGCCCTCCGATAGCATTTCAATACATCGGTCCTAAAGTTTAGTCGATATTGGTTGTAGTATAGCGGCTTCTATATTGTTGTATATTTTTATATTCAGCCCATATGAGATAACAACAACAAACCAACAACTCAGTTTCTACCAAGTTTTACCTCTTCTGAGATTCAACCTTCTCTCGAATAGTCGAACTGGGTCGGATCCTTCTAAGCACGAAGCATACAAAGTCATTCTGAGATTGAGTGAAACAAGCATGGACACACATACATATAACAACAAACAAAATTAGTACTCCCCATAGAGACTTTCAAATTGAGAGTTAGGGTGTTTTCAAATCAATTTATTCGAAAATTAGTGTAAAATTAAAAAATAACATAGAATTTATGAGTATTTAATTTGTAATGTCGAACAGAGAGAATTATAGAATTGGGGAGAGGAAATGGCGTACAGAGCAAGCTCACGAGCCGCCCTGGGGCTGCAAAACCTTCCGCTCTTGTCAATCTTCGGGTGCTGCGCCGAGAAGGTGTGGCCGGATTGTACAGGAGCTTCCCTGACGGAAATATCGGAACGAAGAGGAATGAGAGAGCTTCGGCGGCCGGCGGCGGTGGATTGGGGCAAAGGGAAGGGCTGAATGGGTTGGCATTTCGGGAAGGAATCGACGATAAACCTCAGCTGGGGTTTTAGGGCGACGGCGGAAGATGGAGGGATTACTACCAGGGAGGAGTGGCCGGAAGCCGCGGCGGAAGAGCAGATAAAGGAAGCTGATGTCGGCATTTGCGCCGCTGCTTAGGCCCGGTGCCTGATAGATGAAGCTGGAGCACGGTGGAGCCGTCAAGGGAACTGAAATACTCCGTAGCTCACAGAGTGTTCTTTAATTTTATCTCTTCTTGCATCTAAAATGAGGCAACTTTACAATATGGATAGCAAAATAATTATTTTTTACGGTTTAAATAAACATTTATTGCCTTCAAAAAAAAAATTTATTTAAAAATAAAAAATTAAAAAAATTATGTGAGAAAGTTTAGCTAGTTTGACCGACAGGATGAATTGGCTGATAGTTAAAAATGTTTGGCAAAATTAGCTGCTTGAAAATAGTTATATATATATATATACACACACACACTCACTCACTCACGATATTTATTTTTCATTTTTTTACATGTAAAAATTACATCCTTAGCTTACTATATGGAGCATTAAATTTTACTTTCATTTAATTCATAAAAAATTATTAATTAGTTTTTACATATATTATAAAACATTTTTCAAGAAAAATTACTTTAAAAAATTAATTTTTCTTACAGCCAAGTCCAAAAGCTACTCTCTTGCATTTCAGATTTTAGCTTTTCGGATCAAAATGCTAAGTGAAAAAGTCATTAGCTAGACAATGGTTTTGGCTGTTCGCTCAGTCAAAAAACCAAAGTCAGTCAAACATGCCAAAAGCTATCCGAAAAATCGTTTTCCAAACACGGCCTAAATGGATGTCCACAAGTGCTCAAAAGAAGATCTTAAAGACAATAAATGAACCCAATTAAAATTATCGTGTAATTAGTAATATATGTATTCTTAGCAAGATTTCTTTTTTAATTTTAATTTAAATTTACCACTCCAGATGTGTGCTTGTGAGTGTCTCAACTTACTATTATCCGGTGCCACACAAAGGACATGAGATATGCCTAATCTCACATTCTAGTAATTACGTTGAGAGGCTGTAATATAAAGTATGAAACTTATGCAAGTATCATTTACAAGGGATAATGTGCTATTATGAATATATATTTTTGAAGAAAATAATAAGAGGGAAAATATTCTGTATATTGAATTGTTCTACTAAGTACAAGGAGTTTCTCCTTTATTTATAGGAGAGGATAAAGACCAAAACACAAAAGGAATTCTATTCCTACAAGGAAACAAATCACTAAATATGAACAAGGAAACAAATCAAGAGCAATCCCACTTAGAATGGGATTTGCTCTCCTTCTTGCCGTGTGGTCCAAGGAGCACCGCCCAACACCCCCCCTCAAGCTGGAGCATGCGGATTCTGGATGCCCAGTTTGGACAGCAAATGGGAAAATGGAGCGGAAGCCAAAGCCTTTGTAAAGAGATCTGCCGGTTGTTCATTGGTGGAGATGTGGCGAGTACACAAAACACCTCGTTGGATTTCGTCACGCACAAAGTGGCAATCAATTTCAATGTGTTTCGTACGCTCATGGAAGACAGGATTAGCTGCAAT